GGGGAGGGGAGGGGGGGAGGGGACACCTGTAAGACTTCCAACAGGAGAGATACACAAACAAACAGTGCAGAGCAGCAGGTCAAAAAGGAGAAGAGAGAACCGATGGCCTCAGACGCAGACAGCCAGCCCGCCGTGCTCTGGGGCTCACAAAGGCGGACGACGCGACCTGGGATTGGAACTCCTGCAACTTAAGGCTGACCGGCCCGGTTACCAGGGGTTGCCTAGTTCTCATGCCCAAAGGGGCGAGGTGAAAACTACAAGGAAAAGAGTAAAGTCCATGGATGGGTTGTGGTGCCAGGGTGTTTGTTTATGGCTCGGCCTTGGGCTGAGTTTAGCAACAGGCCTATTAACTTAGCGATTTGTTGTTCCACTTATTGATGCATTTATTGGATGCTTTTTAAAAAATATATTCTTATTGATTTCAGAGAGAAAGGGAGAGAGAGAGAGAGAGAGAGAGAGAGAAACATCAATGATGAGAGAGAATCATGGATCGGCTGCCTCCTGCACACCCCCTACTGGGGATCGAGCCCACAACCCAGGCATGTGCCCTTGACCGGAATCGAACTTGGGACCCTTCAGTCCGCAGGCTGACGCTCTATCCACTGAGTCAGGCTGGCCAGGGCCTGCCAGTATTTCTAATAAAAGAAAAAAGAAATGCTTACATAGACCCCTGTCACAAACCTGACACTCCAACCAGGACACCCCCTCCTAGAAGGCAAGGATCTCGGGGAGTGTCTGGCCCAGCCCCCCTCTTTCCAGATGAGGAATCTGAGGCCCAAGGTTCCCAGCGAATGAGGCTCAGAGCCTGGGACTGAACACGCCCCTTCTGGTCCCAAGCCCATCATGGTCCCTTCCCCTTCCCCTTCCCCCTGACTCGGTTCCCTGGGGTGGGAAGGGGAGGACTCCAGGCAAGGACCTGGCTCTTTAAAACCCTCCCCCATGTCCAGGCCGAGCAGAAGGGGGCTGTGCAATGAGCCAGCCCTGGAGGTGACCTTGGTGGGGTGGGGGTGGGGGGGAGGCATGGCAGCAGAGATTCAATGCCCAAGATAAGGGAGATCTGTGGGGGAGGGGAGGCAGCCAGCTGAGACTATCGCTGGGCACAGCTGCCAGCCCTGTTCCCAAGCACCTACCCACCCAAGGGGGTAGAGAGAGGAGGGTGGGGTGGGGAGGGAAGGGGAAGGCATGGGGCAAGGACCAGCAAATGCATATCGCCTTCCCAGGCCTCCCCACCGCAGGGGTCCTGGGCTCACAGAGAAGGTGACCAAGTGAAATCATAGTGCTGCCTGCCTCTGGCTCCCTCCCACCGCCCGACCCCCCAGAATGACTCCGCTACCTCCCCAAGATGCCTGTGGCCAGGAGGGCGAGTCATGTCATTTGTTGTGGTGTTTCTCAAACTTCAGCGTGTGTTCGTGTGTTTGTGTGTTCGCGTCCCTGGGGCTGGTATTAAACGCAGATGCCGATGTGGCAGGTGTGGGATGGGCCTGCTGGGCCAGGGGCCACACTTGTACTTCTATTTTTAATTTTTTTAGAATATATTTTTATCGATTTCAGAGAGGAAGGGAGACAGAGAGAGAGATAGAAACATCAATGATGAGAGATAATGACTGATTGGCTTGCCTTCCACACGCCCCCTACTGGGAATTGAGCCCACAACCCAGGCATGTGCCCTTGACCGGAATCGAACCTGGGACCCTTCAGTCCTCAGGCTGGTGCTCTATCCACTGAGCCAAACCGGCTGGGGCTACATTTTATTTTATTACTAGGGACCCAGCACACGAAATCGCGTGAGACCCAGACCCGACGCCCTGCGGGACACAGTGTCAAGTCCTCCCAGAGCCTGTGGGACGCAGTGTCAAGTCCCCGCCCACCCACTCCTGCCTTGCTGTGCACGCAGCCTCCTGGCGACCAGTCTTTGGTCGTTATGGTGTGACGGTCACAACCAAGGGATTTTTATAATAGGGATTATGTTTTTTAAACATTTTTATGATTTCAGAGAGGAAGGGAGAGGGAGAGAGAGAAACATCCATGATGAGAGAGAATCACTGATCAGCTGCCTCCTGCACACCCCACACTGGGGATCGAGCCCGCAACCGGGGCATGTGCCCTGAGCAGGAATCGAACCGTGACCTCCCGGTTCATAGGTTGATGCTCAACCACGGAGCCACGCCGGCCGGGCCATCTATGGGTAATTCTTAGCACAGTGCTTAGCACATGGGAAGCACCATCGAAGCTTCATTGACTGTAACTAAGTTATTATTTTCTGCCTCTAAGCCACGGGGTGACACCTGAGTTTCAGGATGGCTGGCTGCTGAGCTCACATGTACCTGGACAGTCAAGTTCCTGGTTCAAGTCCAAGAGGAAGGCAGGAGCGTGGCCAGGTGCCTCAGGAGAAGGTTGGGCCAGGTGAGCTGGAACTCGCGGAGTCACCCGGCATGGGCACCTTCCTCTTCCTCTCGCCCTGTGCTCTGGGCGGACGGCGGGGCTCTAGGCCGCACACACCTTGATCCCTTCAGTGTGATCCACAGAGTGAGTCAGAGACCGGTGTTTGGACAAGGCTGCTATATATCATTTGGCTCATGGATTGGGAGAACTCCGTGTGCTCTTTTTTAATATCCTGAGTCCACCTATGGGTGTGTGTGGCTTGTCTGTTTCCTCTCTCTCTTTCCTCGCCTATATCCACAGCACTTAGTCTCTGGGAATCTTGAGGATCAAAGAATCATGGGGTGAACCAGGAGGTCACGGTTCGATTCCCGGTCAGGGCACATGCCCGGGTTGTGGGCTCCATCCCCAGTAGGGGGCATGCAGGAGGCAGCTGATCCATGATTCTCTCTCATCGTGGATATTTCTTTTTAAAAAAATATGTATTTTTATTGAGTTCAGAGAGGAAGAGAGAGGGAGAGAGAGAGAGAAACATCCATGATGAGAGAGAATCATGGATCGAGTGCCTCCTGCACGCCCCCTACTGGGGATACAGCCAGCAACCTGGGCATGTGACCTTCCGGTTCATAAGTCGATGTTCAACCACTGAGCCACACTAGCCGGGCTCATCATTGATGTTTCGATCTCTCTCTCTCTCCCTCTCTGAAATCAATAAAAAAATATATTTTAAAAAAATCATGGGGGCCTGGGGCCAAGGGGATCCTACCCACTGAACTCTGGGAGCATCGGAAAGAAATTTTCATCATCGGAGATTTGAAGTTTCCACGGGGCTCGAGGGAAGATCCGCTGAGCTGGCTTGGCAGAAGTTCAGCCCTCATTTGTCTGATCAGATTCATGCAAATAAGGCCTCCGTGAGTTTCAGGCAAACGCAGTTGCCTTCAAGGGCCAGGCAGGTAAATTAGGGACTGAAGGGAGCGGATGGAAGGGCGCACAGGAGACAACGGACGGACGGACGGACGGACGGACGGACAGCCGGAGCAGCCGCTGCACGGAGCCTGATGTTTCTGTTTGGAAACACGGTCCCAGGGGCCGGCCGGACCCTCTGAGGGTTCCAGACAGGCCAGAACTCAGGGTTTCTTTTCATGAAATCTCTGGATGTTACCGTGTTTGCTCTCTGCCCTGCTCAGCGGCCGGCCGGGCCCCCATCTGCCTTTGCTCCAGCTCCTCCCCGGCTTCCTCAAGGAGCCTGGGCTGCCTCCCTGGGGGACAATTTCCTTTTGTCCTTGGGTCCCATGTCAGGGAATGGACCCAGTGTTCCAGGCCATGTCCCCAGGGCCCAGGTGAGGGGTTCTGGGCTCTGTGTCGTCCTGATAAGGCAGGCCTGGGCCACGCCTCGCTGGCTGCAGCCACAGCTCGGCTCTCCCAGGCAGAAAAGGGAGGGCAGTTCTGCTGGCTCTGGGGTTGCTCTGGCCCAGTGGTCGGCAAACTGGGGCTCTCGAGCCACATGCGGCTCTTTGGCCCCTTGAGTATGGCTCTTCCACAAAATACCACGTGTGGGCGCGCATGTACAGTGCTATTGAAACTTCGTGGCCCATGCGCAGAAGTCGGTATTTTGTGGAAGAGCCACATTCAAGGGGCCAAAGAGCCGCATGTAGCTTGCGAGCCGCAGTCTGCCGACCACTGCTCTGGCCTCAGACACGGGGAGCTCTGCTGGTGGGCATGGAGTGGAGTAGGCTCCTAGGCCTCAGGCTAACAGGGTCAGAGATGAGGGGGGGTAGGGGGTAAGAGGGGTGGAGGGGAAGCAAGCACCGCCCAGCCTTCTCCCTACATTTTTTTCTTTTAAAGCTTGGAAGAGTCATATTTCCTTTTTTTTTTTTTTTTTTAATTTTTTTTTAAGCTTTGATAAAAATACTTTTATTGATTTCAGAAAGGAAGGGAGAGGGAGAGAAATAGAAAAATCAATGATACGAGAGAATCATTGATCAGCTGCCGCCTGCACGCCCCCTACTGGGGATCGAGCCCACAACCTGGGCATGTGCCCTTGACTGGAATCGAACCCAGGACCCTTCAGTCCGCAGGCTGACCCTCTATCCACTGAGCCAAACCAGTTTGGTCTCTATCTCTGAACCTAGCCCTGCCTCTCCAGTGAGCAGAAGGATGTCCAGCAACTTAACCTCTCTGAGCTGGAAAAGTGGGGATTTATGCCCTAGCTGGTTTGGCTCAATGGATAGAGCATCGGCCTGCGGACTGAAGGGTCCCGGGGTCGATTCTGGTCAAGGGCATGTACCTTGGTTATGGGCACGTCCCCAGCCGGGGGTGTGCAGGAGGCAGCTGATCGATGTGTCTCTCTCATCGAAGTTTCTAGCTCTCTATCCCGCTCCCTTCCTCTCTGTAAAAAAACAATAATTTTTTTTTTTTAAATGGGGATTTAGCCGAAACCCGTTTGGCTCAGTGGATAGAGGGTCAGCCTGCGGACTGAAGGGTCCCGGGGTCGATTCTGGTCAAGGGCATGTACCTTGGTTATGGGCACGTCCCCAGCCGGGGGTGTGCAGGAGGCAGCTGATCGATGTGTCTCTCTCATCGAAGTTTCTAGCTCTCTATCCCTCTCCCTTCCTCTCTGTCAAAAAATCAATAAAATATTTTTTTTTTAAAAATGGGGATTTAAAAAACCAAAAGACCCAGAAGGGTTTGGGGAAGATTAAGTCCGGATGCTTTTGCTGCCATGTGAGACCCCCAGACAGTGTGTGGTAAACATTCTCTCCCTTTCTGCTTGCTTCTCTGTGGCTGTGGCTCCATCAAGGAAGCCAGGCGAGCAGGGAGTCCCCAGGTGGGCGGAGAAGCCACTTTTTTCTCTTTGTGCTCAGAAACCCTAACCCACATGCATAGCTTCCCCCAGGGGCTTGGACTCCGGCTGTGGGCTCCCCAGTGGGGCGCATGCAGGAGGCGGCTGATCCGCGATTCTCTCTCATCATGGATGTTTCTATCCCTCTCCCTCTCCCTTCTTCTCTGAAATGGATAAAAATATGTTTAAGGAGGGGAAGGACATCTTCATTGTCATCGTCCCCCTCAAACTGACGCCAGAGTCCTAGATCTGGAGGGAGTGGACTCATGTGCCCAACTGCTCCCCTCTCCCCCATCCAGTTCTGTTAGATCCTTGCGGGTGGGGCCAGCTTTGGGTGTTCTTTAAAGTCTCCCGATGCCTCTAATGTGTAACCAGGGTTAAGAACAACTGGTCTAGTCCAGCCTCCTCATTGTGGAGATGAAAACACACAGGGGGACAAACAACCCCAGGAAGATGGAAAGAAATATTTAAAGAGACAGAGTCTAATGCAGAGTCTAAGCGCCCCAGAGGGGGGCTATTGTGATGTCATTATTCATTATTTCTCTCATCGCTCTATTAGGGTCGATGCTCTGTTGGCATTTAACTTTTTTTTTAAACAAGGGGTCCCATGTTTTCACTTTGCCCTGGGCCCTGCAAGGGATGGAGCTGGTCCTGGCCCTAAGCAGAGTGAGTTATCACCCCATTAAAGAAAGAGGAGGGGCGCCCGGCTGGTGTGGCTCAGTGGTTGAGCACTGACCTATGAACCAGAAGGTCATGGGCTCAAGCCCCAGTGGGAGGCGTGCAGGAGGCAGCCAATCAGTGATTCTCATAATGGATGTTTCTTTCTTTTTTTTTGATTTTTAATATATTTTTATTGATTTCAGAGAGGAAGGGAGAGGCAAAGAGAGATGGAAACATCAATGATGATGCCCGCCGGCCGGCGTGGCTCAGTGGTTGAGCACTGACCTATGACCCAGAAGGTCAGGGGCTCAAGCCCCAGTGGGAGGCGTGCAGGAGGCAGCCAATCAATGATTCTCTCTCATCATTGGTGTTTCTCTCTCTCTCTCCCTCTCCCTTCATCTCTCCCATCAATAAAAATATATTTTTTAAAAAAGAAAAGAAAGATGAGGGGCATACTCAGGGCCCAGAGGCCTGCTGGATGTGGGCTGGGCTGGCCTGGCCCTCCATTGCCCAAGGAGGTTGTCTGCTCCATCCCGGGGAGGGGGCTGTCCTCACTTCTCTTTCGAGAAGCAGTGCAGAACTTAGGGCTCCCTCTTCCTAGCTGTGAGGGGCCCTCTGAGCCTCAATTTCCCCATCTGTAAAGGGGCGGATATAATGCCTGCCCTGCAGAATTGCTATGAAGCGTGCGTGGAATCATGGCTGTCCCACTAGTGCGGGAAATATGTATCTTCCTTTTTTTTTTTTTAATTGGGGAGAGAGGGAAGCATCCTTCCCCAAAAGAATGGGCCCTAGCCAGTTTGGCTCAGTGGATAGAGCGTTGGCCTGTGGTCTGAAGCGTCCCAGGTTCGATTCCCCATCAGGGCACATGGTGGGGTTTGGGGCTTAGTCCCCAGTAGGGGGCGTGCAGGAGGCAGCCAATCAATGATTCTCTCTCATCATTGATGTTGCTATCTCTCTCTCTCTCCCTCTCCCTTCCTCTCTGAAATCAATAAAAAAATATATTGAAAAAAAGAATGGGACCCTTTGCTCCAGGTGCAGCCTTGTCAGCCACCCCAAGGACATTGGTCTCCATGGGAGACCCAACTATAATAAGTTCCCAGACGTCTGCTTTTCTCACCCAAACTAAGGACAAGGGGGGCGGGGGGTGGCGCTTCATTGTGAGTGGGACCTATAGGCATCGGAGCCCTTCAGTGCAGGTGAGCTACTGCCCCCTGGTGGTGATTCACCTGTACCTGCACCGAGTCCTGAAATCCTTCTGGGGAAGAGATGCTGGATAACATAAGTCAATTCGATTAAAAAAAATAATTTATGGCTACGCTGCTAGGCAGGAAGGATACAGAGACAGATAAAGCACCGTTCTTGCCCTCTCGGAACTCACGATTTAGAAAATAAAGCAAAACTCTTAAAGAGGTGGCTTGAGTCCCGCACAACGTGCTAAGTTATCATACAAACAATGCAAACAGGATGGAATGGATGCACTTATGCCTGCTCTCCCCACTAAGGGAAGCGACGAACCCCCCGACAAGTCTGTAAGGAGACTGGGAGGTTGAGGAGTATTCACTTTGTAGCAAGATGGTTCTTTTTATTCATTAAGGCTATTCCCCGCCCCCACACACACACACACTGTAAATGTAATATAGAAACACAGAATTGTAGAAAACGTAGACAATTCAGAAAGTGTAAAATCAAATTTTTTAAAAAATCATCATCATCTTACCACCCCAAGACAATAGCAGACAAGTTTCGTGCACAGATTAACGTAGCAGTTTAGAAATATACAAATGGACACAAAATCCGGAGATCTCACCGCATGTGCTGTTACATACAGTTGTTTTTTTTTAATGTAACATTATAAAAAACATTATTTTAAAAAGCTACCCACAACGTTCTTTCTCCTAGGGTGCCATTCCCATTCGAGTTGTTTCCAGTTTTTCTCAAGTTAAAGCCACTCTATGGATCTGATTGCCTCATTCAAAGAAACTCAGCTCTAAGTTAACTTGACCAAAGGGAATGAACTTTTCTATTTTCATAACTTCACTTAAATTTCAGAAAATTAAAGTCCTCGCATTTGATTCTACCCCAAAGAAAGCCCAGGGTAACTTCAACCCAGTCGGAACCCCGGCGGGCCGGCCGCCGCGCACCTGCGCACAATCGCCCGAACGCACACCTCCTTCCCAGGAGGGAACTTTACAAGACGCCGTCCTAGCACCACCTCTTTAAATTTTAAAACGAAGCCCCTGGCCAATCAGCGTTAAGTTCTTCCCCGGAACACAGGGCCCGCCCACAGGCACGCCCTCCACCAATCGAGCAGAGGAATTCCCCAAAGCTCTTCCAATCAGCGCCGAGGAGGGCGGGCACTTACGTAAATTACGTAAGGCCAGGGACCAATAAGAGCTGTGATTTGGGAGCTGGCTCCGCCAATAGCGGTGTTTCCTGGAGAGCGCGGGAGCCTTTTGAGCAGGGTCCCCGGGAGCGTGAATGGCGCTGGCTCCCTGAAGCGGGGT